ATATGCATGTGTTCAGGATCCCTGTAGGTCGTGTCTAGTGTGAGCAACAAGGGTGAGGTCTATAATGAAGTTCAGTAATGAAAGCTGCCGACACCTTTGTTCCTGCCTGAGTCGTCTTATGTTGAAAAGACCCTTCATCCAGGACATCGGAGTCCACCCAGCTAAATTGGCACTGGCATGAGTAAGGAAGGCAGCCAAGAAAATGGAAAAGAGAGTTGGTGCACACCCTTGTTTAACCCTGTTGGATGGGGAAGAACTCAGATCATTGTCAGCTGGGACACTGCCTTTCATGGCATCGTGGAGTTGCCTCAATGGCAATGAATTTGGTGGCAGCCAAATGCCTGAGGGTCCACCAGAGGGTTTCCCTGTTGGCCTAGTCGAAGGCCATAATTAGGTCGATGAAAGCCATGTACAGGTCACGACGCTGTTCTCTGCATTTTCCTGTATCTGGCGGGCAGCAGATCATGTCAGGTGCCATGTGATGGCCCAAAGCCACATTGAGATCTGGGAGGAAGCCGCTTTAGGGAGAAGTCTGTTTAGGAGACTCAAGGATAATCTTGCCACGACAGCAGCGAGATCCCATACGGTAGTTGCCAGTCTGACCGGTCTCCTTGTGAACACCCACATACACACCCCCTATACCCCCACCCACACCCCCTATACCCACCATTACCCCTATACCCACACTCCACACCCCCTATACCCACACCCACACCCCCTATACCCCCACCTTAAACGCCCTGCTTCGCCCTGGTTGCTTCACTTGGCTCCCCTCGTTGGCATTATCTTTCAATAATTTGATTCCTGCCCAAAGTCAACAGCTGGATGACCTATTAGTTTCCTGCTTAGGTAGCCCCGTCAACACCAGGGGGGTGTAAGAGAGGGGAGAGGAGGGAGGGAAGGAGGAGAGAATTGATGGGTAAGGAAGGGGGTGGGAAGGTAGAGGAGACGTGGAAGGTGAGGGGAAGTGGTAGAGAAGGATGGGGAGGATGGGAGGAAGGGAGAAGAATGGGAGAGGGACAGAAGAAAGGAATAGGGAGAAATGAATAATAAGGAGAGAAGAATGTGTATGGAGGTGAGAATAAGGAGAGAGAGAGAGAGAGAGGTCATCACGGACCAACTGGACTAATTTACTACAATGTTGATTTACTTACATCTCTCTCTCTCTGGCACCAAATTTTTCTTTATAAACACACACACACACACACACACACACACACACACACTGGAAGTAATCATGAGCCTTGAACCAGCCACGTGAAATACCTGTGCTAAACATTAATATGACTGTGACCTTTGACCTTACGGCTCGTGGTTCAGGATAACACAGTTTTATTTAGATGATGATGAAGCTTCCTGTACTGTGTGTGTGTGTGTGTGTGTTGTGTGTGTGTGTGTGTGTGTGTGTGTGTGGTCACCTCTACACCTGCAGCGTCTACCTGTGCTTCCACTACGTCACCACCTCCTCCTTCACCACCGCCTCCTTCACCACCGCCTCCTTCACCACCTCCTCCTTCACCACCTCCTCCTTCACCACCTCGTCCTTCACCAACTCTCCTCCACTACGTCACCACCACCACCACCACCTCCTCACTACTCACCACCTCCTCCTTCACCACCTCCTTCACCACCGCCTCCTTCACCACCCTCCTCCCTCACCACCTCCTTCACCACCTCGTCCTTCACCAACTCTTCTCCACTACGTCACCACCACCTCCTTCACCACCACCTCCTTCACTACGTCACCACCTCCTCCTTCACCACCTCTTCACCACCTCACCTTCCACCACGTCACCACCACAAAGCCTTCTTCATCACTCCCCGGTGCACCTGCCCTCGTTACCTGCCTCACCACCACACTTACATTATCACCTGTAATGATCACACCTCCACCCACCCACAACACCTCCTTGCCCCGCCCAACCCTTCACCAACCGAATAGCCTTCACCACCCACCCCCACACACCCACACCCACCCCCCACACCCACCCCACACCCACCCACGTTTTACTCCCGGGTTCTGTGTTCCGTTTCTTCCCACCCACTTTTTCTGTGGTCCTTACACCCATTCTCCTTCCTTCCTTCCTTCCTTCCTTTCACACACACACACACACACACACACACACACACACACACCTACCCCCATTCTGACTCTTCCCTACCCCGACTCTCTACCTCCCCCCTGATCCTCAAAACCACCCCTTCCTCCCACATAAGAGAGGGTCGGTGTCCCCCACCCATAATGCAACGCGACCTCATTACTACCAACTGTCTTCATTATAGGTGAAGCACCTTGAAACATGCCCAGGTAAAAAAAACCTGTAGGTGTTTTAAAAAGTCCCCCCAACCACACACACGCCGTCTTTTGAACGCTAAATTGGAACCACTAGCTGAAACTTTGTAGTCAAACGTAGGGAGAGAGAGAGAGAGAGAGAGAGAGAGAGAGAGAGAGAGAGAGAGAGGAGAGAGAGAGAGAGAGAGAGAGAGAGAGAGAGATGTGTGTGTGTAAATAATAATAATAATTAACGGTTTATTGAAAAGTTCAGCAGCCGAAGGCTGAAAATATACATTGACAAAAATGACTTATTACATACAAAGACATGGGGTGGGTGGGTCGTTTAACAAAAGCTTTCATTACTAAAGGAGAAGGAACAATGATTGAACATACAAATTATTATAGTTTACAGTTGATGGCCCGGGCCTGGGCTGGTTCATGGAGACACCAGGTGGTGTGGTGTTCACGTGGTAGTAACTCGTCCTCGGGTGTTGATATGAAGGACTCACGTGGTCATGGAGACACCAGGTGGTGTGGTGTTCACGTGGTGTAGTAACTCGTCTCGGTGTTGATATGAAGGACCTCACGTGGTCATGGAGACACCAGGTGGTGTGGTGTCTACGTGGTGTAGTAACTCGTCCTCGGTGTTGATATGAAGGACCTCACGTGGTCATGGAGACACCAGGTGGTGTGGTGTCCACGTGGTGTAGTAACCCGTCCTCGGGTGTTGATATGAAGGACCTCACGTGGTCGTGGAGACACCAGGTGGTGTGGTGTTCACGTGGTAAAATCTCTCCGGTGTTGATATGAAGGACCTCACGTGGTCATGGAGACAGGTGTGGTGTTCACGTGGTGTAGTAACTCGTCCTCGGGTGTTGATATGAAGGACCCCACGTGGTCATGGAGACACCAGGTGGTGTGGTGTTCACGGTGTAGTAACTCGTCCTCGGGTGTTGATATGAAGGACCTCACGTGGTCATGGACACCAGGTGGTGGTGAACGTCCGATATAGACCCACGTGGTCCGGGGGACACCAGGTGGTGTGGTGTTCACGTGGTGTAGTAACTCGTCTCCCGGTGTTGATATGAAGGACCTCACGTGGTCATGGAGACACCGGGTGGTGTGGTGTTCACGTGGTGTAGTAACTCGTCCTCGGTTTGATATGAAGGACCTCACATGGTCATGGGGACACCAGGGTGTGGTGTTCACGTGGTGTAGTAACTCGTCCTCGGGTGTTGATATGAAGGACATCACGTGGTCATGGAGACACCGGTGGTGTGGTGGTGTCACACATACTCGCCCTGCTGGGTGGTGTTGTGTTATCTCGTAGTCGGCCGGCCCTCTGTTGTTCGCAGACTGATTAGCACCTCCTGGTCAGAAGATGGTGGTCAGTTCCCAGGGTGCTTATCTCACTGGTGGGTCACGGCTCACTGGTACTGTCTGGTGCTGAATTCACTGGCTTAAACACTGTTCACTGTTCAACACTGATCCCACTTCTTTCCTAAACGAAATTGTACACTTTTCATTTTGTTGATATCCCGGTGGTGAGGATGGGTCGGAGAGGGACTTGGGGAATGAACATTGCCAAGGGGGACAGCTGTTCAGCAGGAGCAGCGCCTGAATAGGTCTTGACCTACGGTGGTCAAAGATGTGTGTGTGTGTGTGTGTGTGTGTGTGTGTGTGTGTGTGTGTGTGTGTTAGTCTTACCATCATTTAACATTATTCTAAGTAAACCAGAAGACGATCACATTCTGCTCTGCTAATATATGATCGAATTATTACCATTAAAATACATATTATTAGTAGTAGTAGTTGTAGTGTTATTATTGTCATTATTGTTACTTATATAATAAATGTCATTATCATCATCATCGTATTTTTCTTACAGAACACTGATGGAGGCTAGAACAAGCCCTGAGACACAGCCCTGAGACACAGCCCTGAGACACAGCCCTGAGACACACAACACCAGAGGGCCCTGTGAAATGACCTAAAAACAGAAAAAAACCCCATCAACTAATAACCAAAATCACCTAAAATAACATCCATGTGATAAACCTCAAAGATAAATATAGGATAAACTTGTGGAAAATACTTGAGACATTACAACAACAAAACCTGGATTCATATAAAGGTTTGAAGAGACATATACAGGTATAGAGAAACACAGTCACCCCATAAGTGCTCTAGTTCGTAAACAAACATGGGTACGGTAATTAAGAGCTTCTGTAGTGAAGATGAGAAGACAATACCTAAAATCAGAAATGACATTGAATTGATCACATAGAGAGAGAGAAGAGAGAGAGAGAGAGAGAGAGAGAGAGAGAGAGAGAGAGAGAGAGAGACGTATTGTTGCTACACGTTTCCCGTTGTTGTCAGGTGTGTAAACTTCTCAACATAATCTACCAATGACCGTGTGTAAAGTGGTGGAAAAGTAATTATTATTATAACTAGACTTAGTGATTTAAACTACCTTGAAAAATTAGCGTTGGGAAAAAAAAAATACTTACTGATTGAAAATAATCGATAAATAGTGAACCTTCTACTGAAAACTAGAAAAATATTTAAACTATCATAACTGAACGAATTAGAAAAGTCGTCCGTCTGTCTGTCTGTTTGTCTGAGTGTCTGTGTGCGTCTGTCTGTCTGTCTGTGTGCGTCTGTCTGTCTGTCTGTGTGCGTCTGTCTGTCTGTCTGTGTGCGTCTGTCTGTCTGTCTGTGCGTCTGTCTGTCTGTCTGTGTGTTGTCTGTCTGTGTGCGTCTGTCTGTCTGTCTGTAAGCGCGGGGCACATCGCTGATTCGAAAACATCTTGTGAACGCTCAGTACAAACTTTGGGAGGAAGTTTGGAACGCTAAATTAAATTTCCCCGTGGAATTTTTTGGCCTTAAACTGACCGAGTCAACGAAGAGGGTGCAGTAGAATTGAAGCATCATCAAGCGTGTGTTAGTCCCACGCCCACAACCACGCCCACAACCCCACACATACACACCAGTTATACACCACACACACATACAGATACACATACAACTCCCCCTTACACATACACACGCCCATAACTACGCCCACCCGTCTACAGCAATTTGACCTCCACGCCCACCGCCCACGCCCACCATCACCATGAAGCCAGCAAGACTCAGTTTCATCATCGTCATCATTCTGGGTTTAGGTGAGTACAAGTCCCACTGTTTTTCATATCACTGAGTACAAGTTCCACTGTTTTCCATATCACTGAGTACTATTTTACGATCATCTAACTAAAAAAAAAATATCGTTATAATCCTAAATGTTCCTTCGAGTCTAAATTAAGAAAAAACTACCAATACAACTGTTAAATCATGATAGAACCTCCATTTACCGGACATCATCAATCTAACGGGTATAGTCCGTTGATAGAACCTCCATTTACCGGACATCATCAATTCAACGGGTATAGTCCGTTGATAGAACCTCCATTACGGACATCAATCTAACGGGTATAGTCCGTTGATAGAACCCATTTACCGGACATCATCAATTAACGGGTATAGTCCGTTGATAACCTCCATTACCGGACATCATCAATCTAACGGGTATAGTCCGTTGATAGAACCTCCATTTACCGGACATCATCAATCTAACGGGTATAGTCCGTTGTATAGGTCTCATTCTATAGTAAAATTACAGGAATCTTGTTAATTATCTCCAGGATTAATGACTTAAATCTTTAATATATTTACAACAACGTAAGACCGTTCGCCTCTCCCCATAAGTCCGTTCGCCTCTCCTCCATAAGTCCGTTCGCCTCCCCATAAGACCGTTCACCTCTCCTCTAAGACCGTTCATCTCTCCCATAAGCCGAACGGGACTTATGGAGGAGAGACGAACGGACTTTAATAGTTGGCAATACACTTACGAGCATTATTCCCTCCCACGACACACTCACCATCGTCTACCTAATGGACAAGGAACTACAAACATAAAACAAATTTATCTATATTTTTCCGTCTATATCAGTTTATTATTATTATTATTATTATTATTATTATTATTATTATTATTATTATTATTATTATTATTATTATTATTATTATTATTATTATTGTTTTTATTGTTATTATTATTATTATTATTATTATTATTATTATTATTGTTATTATTATTATTATTATTATTATTATTATTATTATTATTCGATTTTTTAACAGAGAGAATATATAAAGTTGAGAACGTTCACTAATGAGATAATGTTCAACAGGTGACTCACTGTGTACCTGATGTTCTCCACCAATCACGTCACCTTATGTTATTTTATCGACCAATCACGTCAGCTTATTCTATTCTATCGACCAATCACGTCAGCTTATTCTATTCTATCGACCAATCACGTCAGTTTATTCTATTCTATCGACCAATCACGTCAGTTTATTTTGTATTACCACGATATTAACCAATCGCTGCAGACAACCCTATATCACCAACCAACCACAGTAGCCTAACTTCCATTACTGACCAATGACGGTAAACTATCCTATACGGTATCGACCAATCACGGCAAACTATCCTATACGGTGTCGACAGAGTTCCTATTGTCGCATAATTTAATCTCCATAGTTAATTCCTCGCCAAACAATTTCTACCGCCGACAACAAACCCATTCTCTCGCCACCCACCCAACTAGCTATCGGCCCGTGGCGAGTAATATTAGAGCTCCTCGCCACGAAGCTAATTATCGAGGGCTATACTCTTCATCTAGCTTGCCCAAGTGACCGCTAATGATCATCATCTTATTAACACGTAAAAAATAATATATATATTCCTTAGGGTCTACCGGGACAATGGTGGTGGTGTGGTGTTGTTGTTAGTGGTTGTGGTGGTGGTGGTGGTGGTGTGGTGGTGGTGTTGGTGGTGGTGGTGGTGGTGTTGGTGGTGGTGGTGGTGGTGGTGGTGGTGATGGTGTTGTCGTTGTTGTTGGTGTTGTTTTGGGGGGATTATATTTGTGATTAGGAGGAGGAGGAGGAAGGAGAGGGGGAAGGAGGAAGAGAGAGGAAGTGGTAGAAGGAGAGAGAGAGAGAGAGGGAAGAAGAGGAAGAGGAGAAGACGAGGAAAGGAAGGAAGAGTAAGAGGAGGAGGAATTACTTGGAAACGAGCAAACATTTATAAAGATGATGAGAGGAAGGGAAGAAAGAGAGAGAGAGAGAGAGAGAGAGAGAGAGAGAGAGAGAGAGAGAGAGAGAAGTGTGTGTGTGAACAGTAATGGTCTCTGGGCAAATTCAAGAAAATTGGTCCACGTTAAAAACTCTGCTGCGGATATTGTTCATACAATTATCTGTCAGCTCTATGGTCACACACACACCACACACACACACACACACACACACACACACACACGTCAGTTCCAGGGTTTCATACCTAGGTGCTCGAGAAAACAAGACACCCCACAAAATTAATAATAAATGCTGTCAATAATGAACCACCTCTTCTCCTTCCTTCTCCTCTCCTTCCTTCCTTCTCTTAGTACCTTTTCGTCTCCCTTCCTTCCTCTCCCCCACAGACCGACAGCATCGATGAGGGACAGATGGTGTTGCCAGCCTACAGACAGATTAGGGTGGCTGTGATCTATGATTCGTAATGGTATAAATTTGTCCTGGTGACATCTGGAGGATGGTGATGGGGTGACGTTGATACCGCTCACTCCTCCCTCCCTGTCTCTCTCTCTCCTCCCTCCTCCCTCCTCCCTCCTCCTCCTCCCTCCCCTCTCCTCCCCTGTCTCCCTCCTCCGTGTCTCCCTCCCTCCGTGTCTCCCTCCCTCCCGTCTCCCCTCCCTGTTTCCTTCTCACACTCCCTCCCTTCCACCTCCCTATACGGTTAAAATAACAAAAAGACGAAATAAAATGTGAAAAAGAAAGAGAAAATGAAGGAGGACGAGAAAAGAGGAAGATATAGAAGAAGGAGAAGAAGAAATAGGAGATGATGATGGAAGGAAGAGGAACAGAAAGAGGAAGAACGTAAAAGAACACAGAGTTATTAATCTTCAGGTGAAATAAACAACGTGAGAGATGGCTACAGGTCAGGTCAGGTCAGGTAACGTATCTCAACTAGGTAGAGTCTCAGCGTAATTTGACATCATTTGGGGATAATTTTGTTGTCTGTGGGTAAAGTGCAAAAGGTTATTAGGAGGTTATTTTTGCTAGTTATGAAGTAAATTAACGGGTCGCGCCACCACTAGTCTAGCTGACACATTCACAAATAGAATAGTGGATTATGTCAGCAGGTCAACACAAACACACACACACACACACACACACACACACACACACACACACACACACACACACGCTACATACATAAATACACAGTGCACACATATACACACACACACACACACACACACATATATATACCACACACACACACACACACACTACTAATACTTTTATGTCACTGAATCAAGTATGACGATCATCCGGCTATGACACAATGATATGAGTTATTATGATGTCACCTGTTGGTGAGTTTTGAGGTGACTAAAGAGGCCGATATGACTGGCAGAGTGGATCACAGATGTTGCACATGTGGAGGGCTACATCTAGTGCGGAGGGTGCGGCTGTCTTTTCCGGCGTTTGCTTGTCTGCCTCGTTATGCAGTCGGGCTAACTTCGAAAGTTGACACCTTCTCGTGGTGCCCTGCAAGGTTACGGGTGTGAGTAATCGTCTCCAGGTGAGGGGGTTGATTTGGCACCTTTTCAGGTTTGTCTTAAGACTATCCTTATACCTCTCCAGTTGTCCACCAGCGTTACGTGTACTATTCTTTAGGTGACTGTAAAGTAGCTGCTTTGGTAGCCTACTGTCGTCCATGCGGGTAACATGGCCAGTCCAGCGTAGTTGTTCGCGGACAATGGTAGCCTCGATGCTCCTATAGTTGGCGTTAGCAAGAATATTTTTTATTTTTTTATTATTTTTTCATGATCGTTCCAGTGGAGAGGGAAACTGGCCCTCCCTCTACCTGCAGCCGGTTAGCTAGACTACACATGCAATATGATCGGTTGCTGCCTGAATCCAAGAGAGCTCCGGTGACCACTGCTCCTTCGCCTCTTCACTGGCATTTGTTCTCTTGTCTTCCCAGCAAACTCGGAGGATGGAAAGTAGTCTCCTTCCTCTCTCTCTCTCTCTCTCACACACCTTGGTATAATAGAATCAAATCTGCTCTGGGGAGGGGGGGAGAGGAGAGGAAGGAAGAGGGGAGGAGGGAGGTGAAACTATACTAATGGCTCTACAACCAGTGAGTGAGTGAGGGAACATCATCTGGACTACACTATTACACATCCTATTGTGTCTATATTACTGGTCTATATTACTGCTATGTCACTTACTGGGCCCACACACCCAGAGGCCCAGGAGCCATCCAAGGGCCCAGGAGCCACCCAAGGGCCTGCTAACCACCCAGCTGGCAGGAGGGACAAGGTGGGAACGCGGATATTGACTTAGGACCGCTTGTTACTCATGTAGAGGAGCTACACCCCTGCAGGAGGAGGAAGAAGGGGGGGGAGAGGAGCAGGATGTATAGGAAGATGAAGGGGGGAAGAGAAGGACTGAGTGAAGGGAAGGAGGAAGAGGAGGGGAAGGATAGGTTGGAGAAACGAGAAATGGAGAAGAAACAGGTGGAGAATAAGACGAAGAGGAATAATAAGGTGGTGGATGGGGAGAAGGAGGAGGGAGAGAGAGAAGGGAGAGAGGGAGGGAAGGTGTAGATTCTGTGTGGAGTCACCCCCACTTCAAACAACACAGTGACGTAGGTGAGTGACGTAAAGGAATAAATTTTACGGTAATATATTTATTATTATCATTGTTGTTGTTGTTGTTATTAATTCTTGATTTTGACTGTCTTATCAATTCTCATTCACTTACTAATATTATTATTGTTATCTGTCTACGCTTCAGATTACCTTCAGATTAATTACCTTTATTTAATTACCTTCGTTAATGTGGTCAGGTTACCGTCCTGACAAGACTATGATGGTGTGGCCCTGGTGTGTGTGGGGGAGGGGGGAGGGGTGAGGAGGGAGGAGGGGGGAAGGGAGGGTAAGGGTGAGAAGGGGGTCATGGGAGTCCTCAACACCATTCTAGATAGTGAACCCATTATGGCAAGGAGAGGGCTGATGACCGATGAGGGGAGAGGAGGAGGAGGTGT